AGAAGATGATTAGTACAAAAGTGCTAATCTATTATAATTATTCCCTAGGAGAGATGAGAGATGGTAGAGAGAGAAACCGAAACTAGATTACCAACACCAACCCCCCTCCGGTCGGTGTCCGCCGGACATGGAGGGTCAACCCATATATAGATCGTTTCCGAGAGAGTGAGCACAACCGTTACCAAAACCATACCAACCCAAAACCTCCACCCAAAAACCATCTGGGATATGATAGGACACTGAAAGGGATCAACAGAGGACATCGAGGACCATTTGGAGGCTATGGCAAGGGGGTTCTCGAGCAAGCAACACCATTCTTCTTCACCAACTTTCCTGAGGATTGGCCTATCAGCGAAATGTGGCATGCATTTATTAAGTGTGGAAGAGCGATTCAGGTGTATGTTGCAACCAAAAGGGACAAATCAGGACACAGATTTGGTTTTGTCCGATTCCTGGACGTGAAGAACTACAGAGCTATGGAGGAGAAATTGAATCAGATCAAGGTGGGCCAACACACAATAAAGGCAAATCTGGCAAGATTTTCAAAAGATGAAAAGCAGAGGAGGCCTTACCCTCCAACTCATTCTAGTGCAGGAGCTAAACGACAATCAGCCACTTACGCGGAGGTGTTAAAGAATGGAACGGGGAAGCAAGCAGGACAAACAAGAGTAGGCCAAAATGTCAAGTCAACTTGGCAAGCAAAGGGAAAAAGTCCAAGCCCAGACTTAAAGCAGGAAGAATGGCACGGTCTGGAGGTTCAACCGGACGAAGAAGCTATGGAATGGCTATCTAATTGCTATGTGGGGAGAGCAAAATGTCCTGAGATTATTTGTACTCTACAGGACAAATTTTTAATGGAAGGATATTTTTCAGCTTCTCTAACTCCTATGGGAGGCAATTTGGTCCTGTTATCAAGCAGTGATGCTGCAGAACTGAAAAACCTTGTTGAACACGGGAAGGATTGGCTTGCACAATGGTTTTCTGAGGTGAAACCATGGAACCCATCAGATGTAGCTTCCGAGAGATTTACTTGGCTGAGATGCCAAGGGGTGCCGCAGCATATATGGAAGAGTAGTTTCTTCGAAACGGTTGCTTACTTATTTGGGAAGTTTGTTTCATTAGATGGTAGTACAATAAAGAGGAAGCGACTGGATGTAGCAAAAATCCTTATTTTGACTCCAATGCAGGAAAATATCCAAAGGGTGCTGAGAGTCAAAGTCAAGCAGTCCATTTATAGTATCCGGATTACTGAGGAACTGGGGATTGATAATCTGTTCTCCTTAAAATCAGATTTTGCTCTATGTAGAGATGGAGGCTCATTTTCAGAAGAATGGTCAGACAACATAAGCGGAGGGTCATCTGAGGATTCAATGGAAGATGGAGAATGGAGGATGCTGGAGGATGGGGATGACATGATGACAGCATTGGACACAGTGCAGCCGAAGTCGGGGGAGTTTGAAATGGCACCACTGTCAGAGGAAGACGTGGAACGGGTCTCTGAAACAAGGGATGTGCATGAGAGTGCATTAAATGAAGGAGCGCAAAATTCAAACAATATGGCAACGGGTGACAAGGTTAGGGGGACTACCAGAGAGGAAGTCTTGGAGAAAGTGCATGACAGCTCAAAAGTAAGAAAAGGAGGGAAACGAAGCCTGAGTAATGGATCTCATCAATCATTAGTAAGATCTGGATCTATGGGAAGTATTAATAATGTTAACCCAAAATTGGATCAAGGCCCATCTCCTCGGCTTGGATTTGGACCCAAAAAGAGGACGGACAAGGATGGGGTCGGGGTGTCCAATTCTGAAGCAGAAAAAACCCACTTCACCGCCAATAGGGAACCAGAGTTTCAGGGGGAAGCGAAAATTACCCTGGGCAACCTAGCAAACAAGGAGGCTAAAGAACAGGCAAGAATTATGAAGGATAGCCGACAAGAACAAATTGAAGAGGAGCGGAGCACCCAGCCTTTTTGGGAAGGATTGGCAAGTGACAACGAAATTCTACAATCAAGAGTTGAAAGATTTGCAAGGGAGAGGAAAAGGAAGAAACAAATGGAGAGACAGATGAAAATAATTGCAAAAGCAAGGCGAGGTAGAAAGAAGAAGGGCAGAAATCAGACCACCCCTTTGCAAGAAATAAGCACAGGGAGGGTGACGTACAACCTTCAACAGAAAGGGGCAAATTCAGAGATGGATCTAGGCACTAATTGCTGGAGGGAAGCAGAGGAGCTCTGGTCCGTTGGCAAGCAATTGGGTTTAGTGAGTAGCAACAACGCAGAGGACATCATTGAAA